CGAAATAATGAAATTTAGCTTTTTGCAGCAAAACTGTCTCTAAACTGAAAAAACGAAGGGCGCCATGCTCTGGAGAATATTTTAAAGAATCTTTTGGCGAAAACCGCATGTCGATCGATGCAGCCATTAAAAAGCCTTTTGAATAGCAAAATTCGGCCACTGTAAATAGATAATAGAATATTCACATAATGTGATCATTTTGTATGTATATTTGGTGCTACTTCGTGACATTTGAACTTGCAATATTATGGCGTTTGAGAATACTAAACAGGCGGTTGGAGGGCGCCACTGGCAAGTCCTACTTCTTTACTTTCCTTCTCTGTTGTTTCTGTCTGTCTGTCTCACCTTTTCCCCAGCACTAAATGACCATTATTGTGTCGATGTGCTTCTATTTACTCAAACAAACAGACAAATAAACAAACAATTGCAAATACGAAGAATGTATTTGATTGGGAAAAACTATCTATATCGTGGTCCACAATTCAAAACCATGTGTCGGTACGTAGCTTACAGATACGATGTTGTAGTCTCCCCCGTACCCTTTGACTTTGATTACCCCCCAAATGTCAGTTTACCCTTGTTGTCTTTCAACATCCGGTCGAACAAAGGCCCTTCCGCTCTAGATATTTCCCGCGTTCACCACTCACCGACCGAAACATATGTGTGTGTGGGTGGTTGGCGGGTGCTCCCACTACTGCTTCTTGTCTTGTTAGTCTTGACCTGATCTGTTAGTGGAGGATTTTGGCTCGCATTGTGTTTGCTTGTTGTAAATTGCATCCCACAATATAACAATGACAACAGCAACAACAAATGTAACAATAACAATAGCAGTAACAATAACAATAACAACAACAACACAGTAAAAATAACAATAACAGTAATAACAACAACAACAACAACAATAAACAAGAACAAAAACAACAACAACAACAATAGCCACAACAGCAACAACAAAAACAACAACAACGACAACAGCACCATACAACAACAGTAACTATAACAATAACAGTAACTATAACAATAACAGTAACAATAACAAGAACTAGAACAAGACCAACATCAACAACAACAACAACAACAACAACAACAACAACAACAACAACAACAACAACAACGACAACAACAACAAGGAGGGGAGGGAGTAGAAAACCTAGGCATGACTTGCCTGAACATAATATGTGTACACACTCATCGAGAGAGAGAGAGAGAGAGAGAGAGAGAGAGAGAGAGAGAGAGAGAGAGAGGGAGAGAGAGAGACAGACAAAGACAGAGACAGAGACAGAGAGAGACAGAGAGAGACAGAGAAAGAGAGAAAGTGGGGAGAGAGAAAGAGAGAGGGGGGGGGAGAAAGAGAGAGAGAAGGAGAGATAAAGAGAGAGAAAGCGAGAGAG